GGGGGGGGGGGGGGGGGGGGTAGTCTGACTTATCCACCGGACACGTAACCGAGTGAAGACAAAAGTAGTTCTCTTGCTCCCCTCCATTCGCTCCCCTCGCCTCAGTGATTGTCGGACATCCACCTCGTTGACCTCTCTGCTGTGAAATCTCACCTCAGTCTCTTTAGTTTAGGCGGCTTATCTCTAGAGTGCTTAATCGTCCAGTTTGGTCTCTTCTTAATATGTGTAGATAAAAAAAAACTACAAAAAACTACAAAAAAAAACATGGTTATGATTACCAGTTTCTGTCTAGATGGTCTCTCCTGTCGCTGTTGGTAGATGCTGCTCTTAGAAGCTTCTTGTCCCAGTCTTGTGCTAGCTTAGCCTCTCCTGATGAGAGGAAGACCCCCCCCCCCCCCCCACACCTCGTCCTCTCCCCCCTTTGGGGCTGTAGGACCGGTAGCTCTATCTCCATATCTGTCTGTGTCCTTTGGCTGTAGATGAAAAAGTTCAGAGGGTCAGCTTTACTCCTCTTTATGCTGAGGAGGTCCCTACCCCCCCACCCGTCATCCACCCGTTCACGCACGTCCGCCTCGCGTCATGACATCAGCAGCCGGCAAACTGCCTGATTGGACCACTAAGGCGAAGCACATGCCAAGATATCCGGACTTTTATTTGAGGAACCTCGAAGAAAGAGTAGCCCATTTGGCAGTTTGAGTCGAATCTGTATGATTGAAAAGGTCCTAAACATAGATCAAAGGCCAAAAAAAAGCACAATTGATTAAGACTATGCTTTTTTCTATTCCAAGTCTAATGAATTTAAATGACTAAGTCGTTCTTTTTTGGGGGTTTTTATCACCCTGAAACCTCTTGGGTAATTGAGGTGATGATGCGATATCTAGTCCTGGTTCTAACAGGATTTCTCCTTCATGTGGACCCATCGGACATTAGGAGGACATGAAAGCCAAGTCTGGGCTTCACCGAGAACGGGACCTGGGAAGACTTCGGCCTCCGGTGGTGGGTTTAGGGTTTAGGGTTCTTGAGCGTGTCTCTCCTCCTGAGCTGCCGTCGATATTCCCAAAACTTGTAATCGCGCGTTCGAGGACTTGAGCCTCGACAACTCAAAGTCATTGGTAACCAGCTGTCCCCAGAACACCCGCTTGCTTTTCCCAACCTGTTGCCCCTCCACCCCCCCTCCCCCCTCATGGCAACGGGTATGGGTTCCTCAGGTCTATCTCTGTTGTGCGAGCCACAGTTTAAGTGGACGAATGTACCATCAAGTTAAAACGGAACTGGCCAATCCGACACTCTTCAGTCCCATACGAGACCCGCTCGGTCCTCCTCTCTGGGTCGGGTGGGGTGGGGGGGTCGGAAACTCACGCCATTTCTCCTAACGGGTGCCTAGTTAATGAGATCTAACCATTCCTCTGTGGCAGCTGCCTTATCGTCTCTAATCCTATGTCATAAACCGGCTCCTGAATCGAGTCATCAAGCCCAAGAACAAGTAATCGCTTTGGGCCGATAGCTGTTTTTTGGAGCTTTACAGAAGGGTCGGTGTGTAAGTCGCCCATCAGGCTGAAGCTACCTGCCGTCCTTTTGCTGGCTCGGAAGCTTTTCTCTGCACGCAATCCAGGTTTTCTCCGTCCATAGGGTGGGATTTTCTTGATCGTCCCCCATCGAGGGATGGAGTCAGACGAGAAGTCCCTAGCTTGGTGTCTTCATCTGTTGTGCGTAAACGTAACTGCCAGCGACGCTTACGGCTCATTAGGTCTTATTTGGTGTCTCGGGGAGGGGTTTGGACGGCCCGCCGGTCCGGATAGCCGTGGGCTCGCATCCCAAAGCTGCCGCCGCCTCTTAGCTCCCGGCTAGCCCGAGTCTGGAGGAAGGACAAACCTTGATGTCACGTTCAAATGGCTAACCCGAGCTGGTTCTGGAAGAAAGTGGGCTCTCTCTCGAAGGGAATCCCGAATCCCAGTCGGGAGCCTCGTGGCTCGTTCAGGCTGAAACTGAAAGAGTGTTTGTGTTGTTCACGAGGAGCCACTGTAGCAAGATAAGGAAACACCTAAGGTTCATTTCATTGAGTTTTCTGTTCTCCCCCGCCCAAAGATTTCGCGCATCCACGATGGCCGTTTTCTTTTTCGGTCAAACCCGCGAGCCGAACCGAGAGGGAGCCCGTGATAGAGTTCCTCATTTTGTCCGCCAGTCGGGTTTGTCGAAATGAAGATCTCTGTACACGTTCTGCTTTTTCTACATTAGTGGGTTTTGGGTTGTTTTTTTTTCTTCGGTAAGAACCCTCGGATTGCTGCCTCACTATTCTGTATATAAAGAAACACACACACATACACACATACACACACAGCAAACGACACACAGTTTAAAGACGTACCCGCATAATCATTTACTCTTTTTTTCCCTCCTTTTTTGGGTCAGATTATGGAAGATGTTAGCATCATTACAGCAGTATAGAGGTGTGATTGCTAGCCGTTGGGGCGGGCTAAAGCGTGCAGATGTGGAGGGGCTACACACCTCCCTGTACATCAGGATCAGCCATGAATTCTCAGTGATGCCAAATGTTTTCAGAGCAGACAACATCTGTTCATCTGCCTCTTTCTCTTTCTTCTGTCTCCCCCCATCGCCCCCATCTATTTGTACATTTTTTTCTATTTATTTAAAGCAGAAGTATATGGATTGTATCAAGCATGAAAAGGCAAACAAATGTTACAGTTGACAAAGATTTCTGGCTCTTAATTTACAGCAGTATATTTGTTTATCTAGAGATTTGTCTTTTTCTTTTTTGAAAGAAATAAAGTCATTTTCCATTCCTAAGAGTTTCTGTCTATTTTGTTGTTGTTAGTCTTTAATGAGGTGTTATGTGTGTTTGGAATGCGAGTTGATGAAACATGGTGCCAAATGGCAAAAATTGAGATTTCTTTTTCGTTTAATTTCTGAGTTTAGTTTTTATTTGTCCCCATGAGGATATTTTTTTCATGTGGACTGTGTCTCTAATTTGAACTTTGGAATGAAGTTTCAGTTAAAGAGACAGAGAGCGGAGTCAGAGTTTTAAGTTTTAAGGCGTGTGGGGTTGATTTTATTATGTAAAGTCTGTAAAGTTTGATTTGATCTGCAGGCGGACATGAAACAAACGGATCCAGATGTGTCTTCGCAGGCATAATCCCAGTTGTTACTATTTCTTTGTTTTGGATGGTCTTGCTGAAGAAAAGACGATGATCCATAAACCCAATAAAGGCAGAGTACATTTATCTTTCAGTGGATTTAAGATTTCATGGAGTTGTACTGTGTCTCATCTTATTTTAAACGGTAGGGCCTGAATCTTAACTCGCATCCAAAGTTTTGAAGCCTAGTGAAATGTAAACACCTTTTCATTTATTTATTTTTT